AGATAACGGTGCAGGCAGGGTGAATGAAGTATAAGAAGAGTGTTTCACAGGTAGTATTATTGAATATGGTATGATTATATTACAAATGGTATATATTGCACATAGCATATATTGCACAAGTAATAATATAGTAATAATGTAGATGATTGAGAGTCTTTTCTCATCAGCCTTGTTAGCAAAATATCCCATGAACCAGTTGGTATTTAAAAAAAAACTCTGAATGTAATCACTGGCTGTTCATCTACAACTGATTACCTYRTGAAGACAAAACAATTCATGAAGCCACCACAACCAATCAACTTTAGCAAACATAAAAAAGCGCTATAATTTGGTCCTTTTAATGAAGTAGTATTTCTTGAAGGAATGTACATCACCTTGCAGGTCAAAGATTTATACAAAGCTCCCACACGATCTGTTGGTACTCTAAGTACTTGTTGACAATGACACTCAGCTACTACCAGACCAAATTTTAGCTCAATATCTGTAATGTTTGTAATTTACTGTTTTTCTTGTTTCTCAGAGTCAAAACCTTTGGCTGCCATCTTGAATCAAGTTTTCTTCTAGAGTTAATCAGCTTTAGATGTACGCCAGCGWTTACTTTCTGAGAACTTTGCTATAAACTGTCAGATGGAACATCAAATATTTTGCTAACATACAAACAAGGTTCAGTCCAACAGATAACAAAAGTTTTAACAAAGGTCTCAAGCAATCTGTTAGTGAATGGCATCTGTGTTGAGAAAAACTCTTAACTATTACCACATATAAATTTTGTTTGTAAAAATAAGACAGCATTGCAGCTGTTTTAGTGTTTGCTACTGACTATGGAGCTGACTCAAAGTTTTTCAGTTGTACATTTTGATCAATGATTACTTTCTGAGCATTTCATTAAAATYGATCTAMTGGATCRTGTTATATTTTACTAATTCARTACTACTGATACAATACTAATAACAAACACAGGCAACTACAAAGCAGCCTTTAAACTATCTATGGCTTCTAGCAACATATATGTACAGTGCATTTTTGTAATGAAATAAATAAGGTCAGGAGGAGAAAGTGTGGGCAGATAGAACATAAACATAAAAATGATGAGAAGGAGAAAATGGAAAAGAATAAATAGGCAGAGCAGAAAGAAATGGAGTGGAGGCACGGGGAGAAAGATGCAAAGAGAGAAGGAGACAGAAGGAGACCACTAGTAAGTAGCTTTCTCCTGGTTATTGGTTTCAGTCACTGGTCAAAACTATTCTTCTCTATTCTTCTCCTCTCCCTCTTGCCGGCACCCTTTTTCCCCCTACGTGGCGTGAAAGATAAAGCAGACGGGCCCAACTGTGTGGCTGGCCCTTGTTCACAGCAGTGGCCTTTTGAAGCCAATTTTCCAGCTCACAGAGCACAGAAAGACAGGGAGAGACGCACACAGAGAGACGGAGGGACTTGGAGGAGGCTGGATGGGACAGGGGAAGTTTTTAGGCATGTGAATGAGGGTCAGAGTTGAAGTACTGATGTGAAAAAATGCACGGGCACAGTGGGATTACGGACCGAAATATTCCCCTTCTCTAACAGCTGGTGCCACTGAACGGAAGAGTCAACCCAAGTGTGGATTTTAAAGCCAACACTCAACACTTGCTACTAATTATTTTTGCAGGACCTTGCTCAGATGCTTTAAACTGTGCATTGTGATTTCTGAATTAAAACTGGAGCTTGAAAAGTTACAGAAAAAAAAGTTGTACCATCAATTTAGCTTCAAAAAACACTTTTTATCGGTGGTAAAACTGTGCTGTGCATATTTTTTCTTCCAATAACTGCTGGCACACTTTATTTTTTATTATATTTATTTATTTTTTGGTTTATGAACCACACATCTCAACAAAGTCGGTTTTGTGCTATGATCAATATGACTCRTGGATATGTCTTGTACTGTCACTCAAAATAAAAACATACAAGATTAAACAAATCCTACATAAATGCATAGGTTCAGTTTTTATTGATAAAATTATGAAAATAGACTCTGACCTGCCATACCGTCATACAGTATTGACTGGATAATCATCCTAAACAAACAACTCCCAGTGGTTGCAAAGACATCAACAAAACAAGAGGATTTTTCCAAAAAGCTAAATGTTGCTTTGATCTTAACTGAACTCTGTGTTCACAGTTACATCAGAAACACAAAGTCACATCAGAGCATGCAAAAATGCCTTCTGGTACTCTGAGCTGCAAACACTGGCTCATTAAAAGTTATAGTCTTTCTGAAAGCAGCAACAGTTTTGACAAAGTTTGATTGAATTTTCAGTCTGATTTGGATACAGAGCAGAGATTAACATCACAACCCAGAGCTGATGGCCATTTGATAACTAGTGTCTTCTCTTAGCTCTGTTTTATTTACCAGATTCAGTTGGAGCTTTCAGCAGCACAAAATGTCTCCCCAGAATTTTCCAGTCATTGCCTCTCCCAATGAAAAGTGGATAATAATGTAACTGTGTGTGAGAGTTTATGTTTTCAGCTAAATGTTTAATGAACAAGATAGGCATCAATAAAACTCAAAACAAATAGCWAATTGTATTTTTACAAATACTTTTCAAGACAGGTTTAGGATGACTTTTAGTTGTGGCAAACACAAAAATGGTGACAACTCAGTCAATTTTACAGACACTAARCTAAGATTTTGTGTGGTGGTAGCTTGAATCAACCTCAACACATACAAGGAACACTAATAGACCACTAGTGGACCAAAGGACTTTCCTGGTCWGAATACACCCTAAAAAAACAYACAATTGCTTTGTTTAAAACTTTRTGCATGATAAGTAGCCRTGCACAAGCCTTCAAAGAATAATGGCTTTTATTACTTTTAGAGTTCAAACAGAACAAATCAACTATTCCACTTTCAGTGCAAGCAGAAATGCAAGTTACTGTTATCAAAAGACAGAAGAAATAAAACCGATAAGATAAACTGTTTGGTGAATGATGATGTGATATGTTAAAAGAAACCAATGTTCAGAAACCAAAGAGGCCTAAATAAAAACAAAAGTCTAAGATTAATAAATTCAAGAAAATGTTTTGTGTGTGTGTGCTTATTTGGAGGTGACACACAAAGGCAGAACCATTCAAAAYGTTTCAAAATGTGCATGCTTTCCTCTTCTTCCCACCTCCTTGAGTGTTGTGGCTCCACTTATCAGCATGAATTAAAACCACGTAAGAAAATAAATAAATAAAATAAACAGACTTTTTTTTAAATGCCGAGAGACTGGCTAGAAAATTGGCTTAGTGCTGCAGATAGCGAACTGAACAAAAGGAACATATATATGAGCTTGAAGTGATTGAAGTAGCTGGCGTCGCCCAATGCGTGCCCGCCGTTTGATTCCTGCCACGGCTCTTACATAAACTGCTCGCTTAATTTCACACCGCGCATCTGAAAAATGACAACAAACGCTTTCATTAGAGCGCGATGCGCAGCCCCACGAAGACACTTTAATGTTCTCGGAGCGAGGAGGAAGGAAGGGGTGGGGGGGTTGTTGGAGGAGGAGGAGGAGGAGACAGAGAGAGGCTTAAAGTTGGAGAGTGATAAATGAAGAGAGTGTTCCAAAAACAAGAAGCAGAAAAAGCAGCAAACAACATCTGCTTTGATTATTTCAATATTCATGTACCCCCC